GGCCTGCTGTGTTCATCCAGCCCTGCACCTTGTTGCCTGGGGTATGTGTTCAGTTCTGGACCCTGCAGCTGAGTAAGGAGATATTGGCCTGACAGGGACACAAATTTATCCAAATTACACCTCGTCTTTTTGAAGGAACTGCCATATTTAGTCCCAATCACCCACTTCGTGCTTTTAACCTATAAATTCCTTGTCCTCAAATACTTGCAAACTTCCTTTTAAAATTTGAATTCCACCAGACTTTCAAGAGGAATGTTTCAGAACCTGACGACTCCCTAATAATCCAGAAATTACTTAAAGTACATGTTGAGTCTCGAGGGTTATAAAGTGCTGAATTGAACGATGACATGCTGTTCCCTAAGCTCCCCTTGAGCTGCATTGGAACGGTAAAGGAGGCTGAAGTCAGTGCAAGTGTGAGCAGACGATTAAAATGAAACTAACTGCTGCTTGGTCTAACGGGAGTGGTTTGGATTTGAGTGAAAACAGAAAGTGAGGTGAGACAGGGAGAAGGTGAAGCTGAAAGATTGGGTGTGATGGTCAGCCTCGATCCGGCAGTTCAGAAAGTGACACAGTCCCAGTGCTAACAGCCAGTTGGTAACTGATACCTGCAGAGAATTTTCTTGCAGTTTTGAAAGCATAATATTTGCTTCTGTAAAGGCAGGGACTTTCAATTATAATACAAGTGTTTGAAATGAAGGAAGAACCGTAGCTCAATTAAATGCTGTTAAAGGGAGTAACTAGCTTAATTTGCAAAGAAGTCATGACAGGAGACCTCAGACCCCTGGTGTGCTGCTGTTGCACAATGTGGGAATTAAGGGACACTTCCAAGTATCACTGACGGCTACGTCCATCTGCAACTCATTTCATATACACACCACGCTCTGTATGAAAATATTGTCCCTCGGGACGCTTTGAAATCTTTTCCCTTCTCACCTTAAAGCTATGCCCTTTAGTTTTCAACTCCCTTAGCCAAGGAAAAAGACCTTGGCTATTCAGCCTATCCACGTCCCTCATGATTTTACAAACTGCTATAAGATCATTCCTCAGCTTCCAACACTCGAGAGAGAAAAAGTAGCCCCAGCCTATTTAGCCTCTCCCTATAGCTCAATTCTCCAATCCCAGCAACAACTTTGTAAATCTTTTCTAAGTACTTTTCAAGTTTAACAACATCTTTCCTACAGCAGGGAGACCAGAACTGACCGCAGTCTTCCAAAGTTAGCGTAATGCAGCACAACATGACCTCCTAACTCCTATATTCAAAAAAAACTTACCAATAAAAGCAAACATTGCAAATGCTTTCATCACCATCCTGTCTAACTGCAACTCCACTTCAAAGGAACTATGCACTTGTTCTTATCCCTTTGGGGGTGTTGAAAGGTATGGGGAGAAAAAAGGAACAGGATTGAGATGTAGATCTGTTAAATGCCTCTGCTTCATGCCTGCCTCTCCCACATTTATCTCTTTTTCTGTAGTTTTTTGCAAACACTAACTGGTTCCCTTCCCTGAAAGACATTTATGAACCAGTTCAGATTTAATGATAATCCAGCAGTTTCCCTCTGTCATCTCCACAGCTGACCAGATTAATTGAACTCAGTTTCACAACCTGTGTGTTCTTCTCATTTCTCCAAATACATTTGTTTTGTGTTTGAAAGGTTAATTTGCAATTAGAGATTTCAAATGAAGCTGCATCCAGACCTGACAATTATTTTGTTTATCATACCTTAATTATCTCTGAATTTTCAATATTGAAGGAAAAAGCACTGTTCACGCAAGGGAGAAGCACGTATTAGCTGTGTGTGGAAGAGTTTGTGAAGATTAATCTGAAATGTCCAAACGCCAGCGCAGTCACACTGGGGAGAGACTATGGAAATGTGGGGATTGTGGGAAGGGATTTCTTTACCCATCCCAGCTGGAAATGCACCAACGCAGTCACACTGGGGAGAAGCCTTTCACCTGCTCTGCCTGTGGGAAGGGATTCACCCTGTCGTCCAACATGCGGATACACCAGCGGGTTCACACTGGGGAGAAGCCATTCACCTGCTCTGATTGTGGGAAAGGATTCACTCAATCATACAGCCTGCGGATACACCAGCGGGTTCACACTGGGGAGAAGCCGTTCACTTGCTCTGATTGTGGAACAGGATTCACTCAGTTATCCAACCTGCGGATACACCAGCAAGTTCACACTGGAGAGAAGCCGTTCACCTGCTCTGATTGTGGGAAAGGATTCACTAAGTCATCCAACCTGCGGATTCATCAGCGGGTTCACACTGGAGAGAGACCATTCACCTGCTCAATGTGTGGGAAATCTTTCGCTCAGTCATCCCACCTGCGGATACACCAGCAGGTTCACACTGGGGAGAAGCCGTTCACCTGCTCTGATTGTGGGATGGGATTCACTCGGACATCCAACCTGCGGATACACCAGCGGGTCCACACTGGAGAGAGACCATTCACCTGCTCAGTGTGTGGGAAAGCATTCGCTCAGTCATCCCACCTGCGGATACACCAGCGAGTTCACACTGGAGAAAAACCATTCACTTGCTCTGACTGTGGGAAGGGATTCCCTTCATCATCCATCCTGCTGAAACACCAGCGAGTTCACACTGGGGAGAGGCCATTCACCTGTTCCGAATGTGGAAAAGCATTCAATTGCACATCTAAACTACTGATACACCAGCGAATTCATAGTGGGGAGAGACCATTCACTTGTTCTGAATGTGGAAAAGCATTCAATTGCTCATCTAATCTGCTGATACACCAGCGAATTCACAGTGGGGAGAGACTATTCACCTGTTCTGAATGTGGAAAAGCGTTCCATTTCTCATCTAATCTGCTGATACACCAGCGAATTCACTCTGGGGAGAAACCATTCACCTGTTCTGAATGTGGAAAAGCATTCCATTGCTCGTCTAAACTGCTGATACACCAGCGAGTACATACCAGAGAGAAACCATTCACATGTTCCGATTGTGGGAAGGGATTTACTCAATCATTCTACCTGCTGAAACACCAGCGAGTTCACACTGGGGAGAAACATTCACTCAGTCAACTCACCTGCTAATACACCAGTCCATTTACTCTAAGGAGAGACCGTTCTCTTGTTTTGCACATGGGAAGTGATGTCAAACTGTTACCACACCAGTGAAATGACACTGGATGAATCCTATTCATCTGCCCTGTTTGTGTAAAAGGCTTTTCTGATTGCTAACACACCAGCAAGCTCACAAGTACCACAGATGAAGCTTTGCTTTTAGTCACATACCATGGAATGAACCTTGGTCATTGGCTGTTTGTACTGACGTTATTAAAGACTGTTCTATTAAACGTGCAGATATTGTGGCTAAAATATTGATACAATTGTGTATCTGTAGGATAGGTTTTGAAAATAATCACAATCTCACTGTATATCAGCACACTTAGAATGGGTAGAGACTGCCTACCTGCATATTGTTTGTAATATGATTTTGTAGTTCATCAGGAATGGTTAAACAACGAGTTCCCCAGTCAGCATTGGATTTTGATGCTATTGTTATTCCAAATCCAAACAATGCTTTTTGGCCCTCCTTCTGATTATGTTTGTAAACACTACAGATTCGGTGACCAATTTGGAATAAAAAATAATACAAATTAGCTTTTTTAATATTTAAGTTGCATCAAGTCTTTTTCTAATTCTGTGTGCCTTAGAGTTAAGATAATCAGTAACCTTCACATGAGCAGTTGTGAGAAGGCACATCCAGAGTGAGATATATAACCTGAAAAGCTGAAAATTTAGTTGCAAAAGTACTCTTGGGGCACATGCAACTTAAATTGGCAAGTGGCTGGGATCCAGACAGAATGTCCAAAAGTTTAAGAAGAAAAGAGAAGAATCAACAAGTGAATCAGGAAGGCACCAACATTATAGGCCAGTTCGTGTAAAAGGGAGTTTGACATGGTTGAATGGCATTGTCTTTAATGTTATGAGTTTAATGAACAAGGCAGATGAGTTGAGGATACAAATTAAAAATGGGGTATGATGATATTGCTGTCACTGAGACACGCTTTAAAGACAGGCAGAATTGGAAGTTCAATACTCCAGGATACAGGGTCTTCATTGGAGACAGCAAAGGAGGCAACAGAAGAGGAGGTATCACAATTATGTTCAGGGAATTCATTACAGCAATAAGGAGAGATAACATCTTAGAAAACTCCTTAAGTAAACCCGTATGGGTAGAACAAGTAGAGCTGGTAAGGAGCCAAATTTCAGTGAAATGTAGAAGTAATAAGGTCGTGACAGTGGGGATTGCAAATTTGCCAACACTAACTGTGGTCACCATTGTGTGAAAGGTTTAGAGAAATGTTTAAAATAGACCCAGGACATGTTTTGAAACCAGAATGTAGAAGTCCCAACAAGGAAGGTGGAGGTCCTGGAATTAATTTCAGGTAACAAAGGCGGACAAGTGATTGAAGTATCCATGAGGAAGCATTTTGCAGACGGTTATCATAATACTCTTAAAAAGATTCAGGATTGTTATGGAAAAGCACAAGGATGGGCCTCAAATCAAAGTTCTGAATTGGTTGATTTTAATGAGACCAGTTATTATTTGGCCAGAGTGCACAGAGAGCAGATAATTTCAGGTAAATGTGCAAGAGGGAACTTAAATGGGGAGATAAGGAGAGCTATATGGGGAACATGAATTGATACAGCTGGGTAAAATAAATGAAAATGCTTTGTTGTTTTACAGGTACATTAATGGTTAAAGGATAATGGAGGAAAGAGTAAAGCCCATTAAGGACCACAGCACTAATCTGTATGTGGAACTAGAGGATGTTGGCCTGGTTTTAAATGAATACTTTGTGTTAGCGTTCACTAGTGAGAGAGAGACAAATCAGGGAGAGGTCTGTGATAGAATTTAACGAAATAGAGAGGATGTTTTGTATAGTCTGAGGGACAGAATTTATTTGCATTTGGCAAGGCAGGGATTAATCAAGAACAGCCAGCAGGCATTTTTAAAAGAAAGCTCATGCCTGAACAATGTGATTTAATTTCTTGATGAGGTGTCTATGTGTGTCAATGAAGGTCATACTTTTGATGTAGTATCTTTGGACATCAGCAAGGCTTTTGATAAGATCCTGCATGGGAAACTAATAGCAAAGGTAAGGGCCCATGAAATCCATTGAAATTTTGCAAATTGAATGCACAATTGGCTGAGTGGTGGGACACAAAGAGTCAGAGCTGAGAAGTTTTTTTTCTGACTGGAAGTCTGTGTCCAGTGGGGTCCTGCAGTGGTCAGTTGTGGATCCTTGCTGTTTATGGTTTCTTTAAATGATTTAGACTTGAATGTAAGAAGGTTGATCAGTTAATTTGCATATGATACATAAGGAATGGGTGGTAAATAGTGTGGAGGATAGCCTTAGCTTGCAGGAGGATACAAACATGCTGGTCAGATGGGCTGATCATATAATTGAATTCAATCTGGATCAGTGAGAAGCAACATACTTGAACAAAATAATGGGTTATTGCATTTGGCAGTTAACCAGAAGGTTGGTGGTTCATAGACTAGCCAGGGAAGGAAGCCTGTTTATTTTTTCCATCAGTGTACTCTATGACACAGTTCTTGATTATCAATGGGGATTTTGGCTGCAAGACATTTTCGTTAATGTTATTGCTCCAGTTAGACCTCAAAAGACAGCGTCTAGACTCCCTACCGTGTGAAACAGGCCATTCAGTCCAACATGTCTACACCGACTCTGAACAGTATCCCAGCTAGACTCACCCCACTACCCTATCTGAAGAGCATCCCACCAGAGTAACCCCAGTAGCCTATCCCTGCATTTCCCATGGCTAATCCATCTAACCTACCCATCACTGGATGATATGGGCAATTTAGCATGGCCATGACATCTAATCTGAACATATCTTTGCACTGTGGGAGGAAACTGGAGCACCCAGCGGAAACCCATGCAGACATGGGAAGAATGTACAAAACTCCACACAGGCATTCGCCTGAGGCTGGAATTGAACCTGAATCCCTGGCACTGTGAGACAGCAGTGTTAACAACTGAGTCGCTGTGCCACCTCTTCTAATGCATGGTGTTGCAAATTCCGAAGGAACTAAATGGAATGTTCACTTAAATGCTAATTAATGTACTGCCTAAATCTTGCCCATCTCTGATAGAAATCCTACATTCATGAACATGAGGAAAGAGGCCACCCTTTTAGCGAGGCAAATAAATGTGTGAAGCTGAGAGAACAACTAATGACAATAAATTTAAGAGACCTGAACTAACATTTCCAGAGTATGCTCCCTCCCTGGATTCACTTCCTCTCGCTTCAGTTGCTGCAAGTGTTTAGTATTCCCCCTCCATCCCAGGATGGGAAAAGAAATGGAAAAGGGGGAGACATTGCTTAGCTCCCAGATGTTACACAGAGGAGGGAGTCTCCCTCTGAACCGCTGTTGAAAATAACAAATCAGATAGAGAGTCATCTAGGCTCGAAACGTTAGTTTGCTCTATCTCCATTGATGCTCTTTGACCCGCTGTGATCTCCAGCATTTGCAGTAATTTGTTCCTTCACTCTGAACCTTGCTGGATGACTTCGGCATTGTGACATTCACAATGGGGGGATGAGGATTACGTGAAACAGCCAATAGGAGTCGTTGAGAGATAGTAGGAACTGCCGATGCTGGAGTCTGAGATAACCAGGTGTACAGCTGGATGAACACAGCAGGCCAGGCAGCATCAGAGGAGCAGGAAAGCTGACGTTTCGGGTCTGCACCTTGTTGTTTCGGGTCTGGACCCTTCTTCAGAAAAAGAAGAAGGACCAAGTGCTGAAAGTGTCACTTGATGAATCAGAAGGTGAGCATGATCATTCCCTGACTGTTTCATCTGTTTGACGTTTGCCTGTTGTGTCTGCAGGGAAAGATATGGAGCATGTGGAAGTAGAGAGGGGAAGACCATGGAGGACTTTGAAAATAAGGATGGGAATTTTAAAAATGAGGTGTTTCTGAACAGAGGGCCTTTCCGAAGAAGGGTCCAGACCCGAAACGTCAGCTTTCCTGCTCCTCTAATGCTGCCTGGCCTGCTGTGTTCATCCAGCTCTACACCTTGTTATCTTAAGAGGAGTCATTGAGTTCTTCAGTGAAATCCTCGGGTTCCCGGCTGCAGGCCAGGCTCGCGGTGACGGGAGCCCTGCCCCCTGGAGCGACGGTTTCCAGGGCAACAGGCTGCTGGCTCGAGCCAGAATGAGATAACACTGTGGAGCTGGAGGAACACAGCAGGCCAGGCAGCATCAGAGGAGCAGGAAAGTTGACGTTTCGGGTCGGGACCCTTCTTCAGCCGCTCGGGACGCTGTCTCTCCCCCTCTCTCTGGCGGCTACTGCTCCAAAAAGAGCCATCTGCTCCGGATAGCAGACCCATACTGCGCCTGCTCCAGACACAGAGCTCGCACTGCGTCTGCTCCGGTCACAGGGCAAGCCGTGTTCCTGCTCCGGACATCGAGCCTCTTTCCACCTGTTCTGGATTCCAGCCCCTATTCCATGAAAATTGCGCTGCCCTCCGCGGGGGGACAAGGTCAGGACAAGAGGGCATAGCCTCAAGATTAGAGGGAGCAGATCTAGGACTGAATTGAGAAGGAACTTCTTCACCCAGAGGGTTGTTAATCTATGGAATTCCTTGCCCAGTGAAGTAGTTGACGCTACTTCAGTAAACGTTTTTAAAGATAAGGTAGATTTTTTTTGAACAATAAAGGAATTAAGGGATACGATGAGAACGCGGGTAAGTGGATCTGAGTCCACGAAAAGATCAGCCATGATCTTATTGAATGGTGGAGCAGGCTCGAAGCATCAGATGGCCTACTCCTGCTCCTAGTTCTTACGTTCTTATATCAGAAATCACATGACACCAGATTATAGTCCTCAGTCGAGCCTCAGTCCTTCGAACACCTGAAAAGGGACTGAGGCTCCTAAAGCTTGTGTTGTCAAATAAATCTGTTGGACTATAACCTGGACTATAACAAGGAAATTTCTGACCTTGTCCACCTCAGTCCAACACCGGCACATCCACTCCCTGGGGAGGACAGTTTAGAAAACCTCTTCCTTTCATTTTCCGAAGGCCAGGAAATAGCACAGGGTTTGTGAGTTTTCTTTAGAAAGAAGAACCGGACCAAGTGCTGAAAGTGTTACTTGATGAATCAGAAGGTGAGTATGATCATTCCCTGACTGTTTTGACTGTTGTGTCTGCAGGGAAAGATATGGAGCATGTGGAAATGGAAAGGGAAGACCATGGAGGAATTTGAAAACAAGGATGGGAATTTTAAAAATGAGGTGTTACTGAGCAGAGGGCCTTCTTTTTTTTATATGTTTGTTCATGGGATGTGGACATTGCTGCCTGGATCAGCATTGATTGTCCAATTCAGGTGATCTGGAGAAAGTGCTGCCATGGACTATGTTTATGTTTTTTGACTGGGCAAATCAAAGGATCTTCTCATGGAATTGCAGTCTGTCAATTTAGGATGTGTGAAATCATGTTTGACAAATAAACTGAAGTGTTTGTTTTGAAGATGTAACCAGTAGAACCAGTGGATTGGGTCATTTGAATTTTCTTAAAGTTTTTGATAAAATTCCATC